TCATAAGAACTTTGTCCGGTGTCAGATGGTAACCACACTTATCATGGGGATCATTGTGTAATGTACAAAAATACTGAATCTCTATGATGCATGCCTGAAACTATAGGACATTGTGTGTCAGCTGTACTTCAGTGAAGGAACTCGATTTTAAAATAAAAATAATCAGCAGTCCCCTGATCAACACCATCATGGTTGTCATTATTACCATGGGATCCGAGTAGAAGAAGGTCTAAACAAAAGCAATAATTTGTTGGCGTGCTGAGTCAAAAAGAAGGACTTATTGGCTAAGGTGAAGGTGAAGCCAGTCCTCAGAATTAGTACAGGAATTTGGACTCCCTCAGACTCCCTTCCCCTTTTCTCACCTTTTTTTTTTTAAGATCTTATTTATTTATTCATGAGAGACCCAGAGAGAGAGGCAGAGACACAGACAGAGGGAGAAGCAGGCTCCCTGCGGGGAGCCCAATGTGGGGCTCGATCCCCAGACCCTGGGCCAAAGGCAGACGCTCACCCCTGAACCCCCGGGCACCTCTCACCTCTTTCAACATGTCAGCCTGCTCCTTCTCTGACTACAGCCTGGCTTCTTCCTGCAGCAGGACACTTGGCTGCCAACAACTCCACAGAGATTTACCCGTCACAGTGTCAACCCTCTTAGAAGAGACTGGTCTCGTCTCAAAGGTGAGACTCCAGGGAAGGGAAGAAGTTGCCCGGTATCAGGAGCCAGAGGGAGAAATGCAAATCAAAGCCACAGTGAGATGCCACTTCACACCCACTAGGATGGCTAGAATGAAAAGACAAATAGTAACAAGTGTTGGTGAACATATGGAGAAAGTGGAGCCCTTAATTTAGTGCTGGTGGGAATGTAAAGTGGTGCAGCCACTTTAGAAAACAGTTTGACAGTCCCCCACACTGTTAGACATGCAGCTACCACATGACTCCTAGAGAAGTGAAAACACGCTTCCGCACAAAAACCTGTACACAAATCTTCAGGGCAGAACTGATTCATAACAGCTTCAGAGCAGAAACAACCCAAATGTTCATCAACTGATGAGGGCAGAAGCAAAATGTGGGACGTCCATACAATGGGATATCGTCCAGGGATGAGAACGGCTGAACTAGTGACCCTGCCAAGGTGGGGATGAACCTTGAAGCCACAGCACATCAGGCTAAGTGAAGGAAGGCAGACACAGAAGGCCACGTATTCTACAATTCCATCCATGTGGAACGTCCAAGGGAAGGAAATCTACCCAGAGAGCAGTTTGGTAGTGGCTTGGGGCTGAGAGGTGGGGGTGGGATGATCCCCCACTGCTACTGGATATGATGGGGGTTTTTGGAGGGAAGAGGTGATAAAAATGGTCTAAAATTAGACTGTCATGATGGCAGCACAACTCCGTAAATACACTAAAAAAATACAGAGTGGAAGGCACCTGGGTGGCTCAGTCAGTTGCATGTCTGCCTTTGGCTCAGGTCATGATCCCGGGGCCCTGCGCTCAAGGCCCGTGTCAGGCCCCCTGCTCAGCCTGGAGCCTGATTCTCCCTCTCCCTCTGCCCCAACCTCCTCACTAGTGTCCTCTCTCTCTCAAATAAATAAGTAAAATCTTTTAACAAAATACTGAATTGTAGGATTTAAATGGATGAATTACATGATATATAAGTTATATGTCAGTAAAGCTGTTAACAGATGAACCCAGGAGAGGAGATCACTGACCTCGTGTGAGTCAGATGCCTCGTTCTGAAACCTGGGAACTGTGCCCGGTGGGAGCAGGGGTATAGGAGGGGTATAGGAGAGCATTTGCAGGAAAACAGCAGCTCCTCTGGGAACCAGCTCCTCTGGACGGAGGTTATGTCCTAGTGGTGGGGAGGGCACAGTTCCTAGACAGGAGCCTGGAGTGGACAAAACAAGAGGTGCCCACCATGCTGGCTATTTATAGAGAATTTACATTTACCCAGAGACAACATTTGGTGCCTCTTCTGAATCCTCTCATGAATGATTACAACAACCCTGTGAGTTAGGTATATAAAACCCATTTTATGTTGGTAGAGGCTCCCCTTAAATAACTTTCCCAAGGTCGTTTAACCAGTGAGTAATGTGGGGCCAGGGATCAAACTGGGCCCGGTCTCAGTCTCCTCTCAATCATTAGGCCATGCTGCCTCCCTCTGGCTTCATGTAAGTTCTTGACAAATTCTGGAACACACCCTGGAGACCGAGCTTGCAATCCATTCCTTATTTCATTACTTATTTCCCCTCTCACCAAAAGGAGACCCTTCCCACACAGAAGCCAGGAGCTTCCTTCGCGGGCACAGGACTGCCCAGGTCATCTTTAGGAGATGACGAGAGACCGGGGTCTTGTTCTTCCCCTACTGACTGCACTGTCGTCCATACCCATCCCTCCTCCCCGTCGGGGCTTTGAGGAACTGGGGCAGGAACACAGCTTGCTAACATCACCATGCAGCCGTCTCCCAAACCACCAGCCAGCAAACCCTCTAAAACAAAAAATAAGGTGACTGGCTGGTGAGCAAGATGGCTTATTTTCCAAGTGTTCTCAACTGTCCACTTAATGTCTGCTCTCAAATTCTGCCAGCAGTTTGATGGTAGAGCTGATGGTCTGTGGCTTCTTAGATTTCTTCTCCCTCGTCTTCAAAAATATCAATACAGCATTTCGGCCTCCAGTGTCTCAGTATTTCTGTGCCATGTCCTGACTTCTCAACCAGGCAGTGCTCAGGAGCTGAGCTGTCCTGCTTACTCTCTGTCATATGTCACCAGCAGACCATTTGCACCAGGAGCACACGTAGCTCCACTCCTCACTCTTTTTTCCCAGGGGCAAAGCCACCTTGCCATGTCCTTAGCATTTTTCACCAGCCTCCACCACCCCAACATGTAGCCTTTTGGACACCATGCTTACATACGCCTACCATACTTCATTTCCACCGTGGCCATGAGCTCGATGCCCACCTTTCAGTCATATCCTTGAAAGTCCCAGCTACTGTGATTCGCCTCCAGGGACAACCTCCTTTTCTTCATCATTGGGATTAGTTGAATGTGGGACCATCAGCTATGTTTGTAGAGTTTCCCAGCAACAGAGACCACGGTGTCCAGGATGCCTGGGCCAAAGCAATGGTGCGTATTATTTATGGACCTGCACTCGTCACAATAGGATAATGGTCTGGGTTACTCATTCTGTCTCCATTTAATAGACAAGGAGACTGAGGCCCAAAGTCACATTGCCCCAAGATCATGCAGTGATTTGATGGTGAGCTGGTTGGGGCTTGACGCCAATTTGCTGGAGTCCAGAAGTCAGGCTCTCCAGAGCACCACTGGAAGCCCCTCCTGAGCAGCACAGCAGAGAGGAGAACCTAACACCAGCAATCCCACAAAGAGCTGCCTCACTCAGGTTTAGTGTCGGTGGCGCAGTAGAGATGGTGTGAGCCGGGCCAGAGGGCCAAGACTGAGGGAGAAGGAAGAGCATTTGCAAAAGAGGAGCCTATTCACAGGGTGTCCGGAGGCCTCAGTGAGGGAGGTCACTCATCCATTCACCAGACACATGTCAACAGCTGGCATATCGTCCACAGGGCCCGTAGGTGCTTAGGAGATGAGGATGGCACCCTCCCCACCCACCCCGGAAAAGATTTGCCCTATCCCCTCCAACTCTTCTCTGCATCCTCAGGACACCTGGGTCCCCTCAGGACAAGTGACGATGAGTCTCGCTGTCTCAGTGGCAGCACTTTCTGGTCCTCCTCCACCTGCTTCTGCTCCACACATGGTGTTTCTGGCTTCAGCCAAAGGAGTCATCACAGCTCTTTGCCCAAGAGCTTTAATTTATTAATTTATTAATAATGAAGAGGCTAATATGTAACCGCTGTGGAGAGTCCCTTATGGACTGGAGGAAAGAGGCTCTGGCCTGCCTGCCCGGGACTGAGCACCAGCCGGGGGCACCTACCGGGGCGTGAAGTACTTGGGAGCTCTGAAGAGCCAGAGCTGTCCCAGCACTTTTGTGGCTTAAGGGGCTGAGTCAGGGGGTGCTTGGTTGCCCTCTGAGATGGTAAGGTTGGTATAAAACTGACAAAAGCAAGAGGAATGGGTTTTAATCGCAGCCTGTCCCCCAACACGGGCAGTCCACCTGCTGTGTGCCTCTCTTTCTGCGTCTGCACGGTGGGGAGGACACAGCCCACACGGTTCGTGGAGCTCGTGGGAGGTAAGCATGCACAAGTGCTTCATGCATAGTAAATCCCCATGCGAACAGAGCATGGCCTTTTGGTTGTGTTTGTGGACACAAATGCGATCATGCTGCTCTTCTTCCTAATACTCATCCGTGGCTGCTCATTGCAGCACACAATCCACACTCCGTGTGGCGGCCTCGGCCTCCTCTTATATGATGACCCTCCACCCCCACCAGCAGGTCTGCAGGCATTCCGAGAGCAGACCATGCTCCCTCCAGCCTCAGGGCCTCTGTGTCTGTGTTCCCTCTGCCTAGCACACTCTTCCCTAAGCTGTGGCACGACTTTTAGATCTGAGGTGACCTGTGGGTTCCTCAGAGCTCCCTGGTGACACTGCCTCCTCCTGGCACAACCCCTGTATCTCTTCTTTTTTAGACATAATGACAAGTGAACGTTTTGATGTGTTCCCCTTCTTGTTTATGGTCATCCCCTTGGAGGTTGTTGCCTCTGAGAACATGGGGATCTTGTCTGTTTTGTTCACTGTCAGGTCACAGTAGGCACATAATAGGCACTTGAAACAACTGTTGGATGGATGGATGAATGGATGGGTAGATGGGTGGGTGGATGGGTGATTGAGTGGGTGGGTGGGTGGATGGGTGATTGGGTGGAAGGGTGGGTGGATGGGTGGATAGATGAGTAGGTGGATGGATGGATGGATGGATGGATGGATGGATGGATGGATGAGTGATGGGCAGGGAAGCCTGGCTTGTTTCCCAAGTGACCCCCCTTCTTTCTTTCTCTCTCTCTCTCTCTCTCTCTCTCTCTCTCTCTCTCTCTCTCTCTCTCAGATATGGAGATATGGTGCCCAAGACAATTGCAGGGAAGATTTTTGGCTCCATCTGCTCCCTGAGTGGCGTCTTGGTCATTGCCCTGCCAGTCCCTGTGATCGTGTCCAACTTCAGCCGGATTTACCACCAGAATCAGAGAGCCGATAAACGCAGGGCACAGAAGGTAAGCCTCAGCTGGGAGTCTGGGTGGCAGCACAGACAGGGGCCTGGCCCACTGCTTTATGCCTTGTGCCACTGAGACAGTCAGGTCACCGGGCCTGGGCTTCCCCGGGCCGATCCCAACACAGATGACCTCTTCCTTTGGAAGGTAAGGCAGCTTCATGTCCCTTCCTACCCACCATGTCCTGCATTCCAGCCCCGAGCCCCGGGCAGCCACCACGTGCAACAAATCCTCAATCATCCATAAGCTGACTGCCTCCCTTCCTGGATGTTCTATGCGATTTCCTTGAGCCCCAGCTTCCCCTTTCAAGATCTCAGCCACCGACACTTGGTGTCCTGGACCCTTGGTCTCCCTGCCAGGAACTTCCTGGGGCACAGAATAGCTCTCCAGTACCCCACGCCAGCCTACACAGAACCTATGGACAAAACAGGAATTGGCTGAGAAGAAAAGCGAGTGCTCTGAAAGGAGGATATTCTGAGGTCGCTGAGTTCTAGGACAAATGGCAGGACAGGCTTCAGCCACCTCAGGGTGGCCAACACTACTTAAGGAGGCAGGGCAGGTGAATGTGCCCGTTCGCCCATGGAGTGAGGACAAATGTCGGCTCAGGTGCTTTTTTTAGGGCCTCTGGCTCATGAAGCTTCTTGGGTCCAGACTTTTACCGGATTCCCATCAGGCAAGGGGAGAACCCATCAGGTTTTCCATTTCTCTTTTGATCTGGGCTGAAACGGGTGCCCCTTCAGCACCAGCTCAGCCTCCAGGGGGTGCAGTAGAGCCTTTCTGGGCACAGTGGATGGTGGCGGAAGCCTCCTTGAAAGAGTCATTTATGGGGGCCTGAGATTCATGTCCTTATTTTGTTCTTTCATTCATTCAGTCCACAAACATTTCCTGTACTTACAGCGCATCAGGCCCTGTGCGTGCAGCTGCTTGTTCCCCCCACCCCATGAGCCCTGCTCCCGGTCCCCCAGTTGCAGGGGAAACACCAAGTAGCAGGGCTTCCTTGACGCTTCAGAGGGATCCAGAATCTCAGAATATATCTGCATATGCTGTCTGGAACCAAGTCACAGAGTTCATGAAGGTCAACTCTGAAACATGGGTGATTATATATAACACTTGATAATACATAGTGTGCAATCATAGAGTGAGCTCAGATGGTTCCCCATCCACAAGGGCCCACCCCCCCACCCTTGGCCTGGGCCCATGCACCCTTTGACTCACCTTGACCTGGGATGTTGCCAGCCTGCCTTGGGCTGATCTGCTGGCTCTGTTCTGTCCTCTCCATCCCCTTCCACATCTGTTTCCTACCTCTTCACCCAAACTGCATGCCTCCCCAGCCCCGCACCCCCTGCTAGCCATCCCAGAAACAGGAGTCTTACCTTGCTCCTTGTTCAGGCCAGCAGGCAGGTACAAACACTATCTAACCTCACTATACCACCTCAAGGAAGGGCCAGAGGGAGCCTGGGATCTGCATCCCCAATCAAGGATTGTGAGGGCCAGGGGTCCTAGAGCAACCCCACCCCCACCTCCCAGGGGTGAGCCTGGTGCAGGTGTCTGGGTCCAGTGGGTGAGGGCCAGCGGGATCCCAGCTCACAGGCTAGCCCACTGCTGTGCCCAGGCCAGCCAGGCGCTAAATAGCTCCTGCAAGCCACTTTCCCCTCAGTGGCCACACCCTTACCTGCCTCCTAGAGCATCCCAGCCCCTGCTGTTCATCCCCTGGAGAGGTGGGGAGAGTGGTCATCTCCAACAGGACATTACAAAGCTCACCCTGTGTGACTACATGCGGAAGGATCAGCCCCCCTGTACCCCTCCTGTGGCTGTCAAGGATGCCGCTCCCTCCTGGCTCCCTCCCGACCGCCTTCCCTCTCCCTTTGAAATCAGAGTAAATGTTCAGTGTTTGCACCTCCCTGGATACATTTCTCCTCAAGGTTGCTGGCTCTGTCTCTTTCACCTTGGGCTTCTTACAAGAGGCAAAAAAAAAAAAAAAAAAGAAAGAAAACAAGAATCCTGTCTTGCTTCCCACACTGAGTCTGTCACTGAGAATCAAAGAAGGCAGGTATAGGGGACTCAGTGGTGGAGACGAGACAGGACAGGCAGGAGGTCAGTGAAGCTGAGAGCTCTCAGCCCAGACCGCATGCTCAGATAAGCTCCCTGCCTCAACTGTGAAGCAAATGCTTAAAAAGTTGTCATCCTTTCCCATCATGACTCACTTCCTTGAGGGTGTTACTAAAACACACTCCATGGCCACTTGCTTGGGAAACTTGGTTCTCAAAGCCAAGTGAAGTGAAGATCAAGTAAGGAGGTCTAGGGAGCCTGGTGGCCCAGTCCATTAAGTGTCTGCCTTCACTCAGGTCATGTTCCCGGGGCCCTAGGGTCGAGCCCCACACTGGGCTCCCTGCTCATGGAGGAGCCTGCCGCTCCCCTGCTTGTGCTGTCAAATAAATAAATAAAATCTTAAAAAAAAAGTGAAAAAAAAAGTGAGGAGGCCTGGCAGTGGACAAAAAGGGGAACATTTGAGTGGGTGGCTTTTTTAGTAATTTTTATTGAGCTAAGCATCAATTCACATGGAAGTTATAAGATCATCACCAGCAGTATGTGGATGTTGATACGATCCACGAATCTGTTCAGACTTTCCCAGTTTCCTTGTACTTGCATGTGTGAGTGTGTGTGAGTCTGATACAGCTTTATCACCCATGCCAGTTCACGCATCCATCACCTTGGCCAAAGGGCTGAACTGTGCAGCACCATGAAGATCCCTCCCCCTACTTCTACCCCATCCCGAACCCCTGGCAACCACTTTTCTATCCTCTGTTTACATAATGTTTTCATTTCAAAAATGTAACATAAATGGTTTCATATGTTAGGTAACCTTTGGAGACTGGTTGGTTTTTTGCTTTTTTTTTTTTTTTTTATTTCATGTAATTCTTGGAGATGCAACCAGGTTGTGTGTGCCAATAGTCCATTCCTTTTCCTTGCTGGACATGGATGTATCACATCCCACAGGGCTATAAGAACTACTTTTTTTTGGTTATTATAAGTAAAGCTGCTGTGAATATTCATAAATAGGCTCTTATGTGAACATGACTCTTAATTTCTCTGGAACAAACTCCCAAGAGTGCAATCATCCATTTTCTCCTGTGGCTTTTCCACATCTCCCTCTTTTTCCTTCTTCTGCGTCTCCCAGGACAGGGGAGGCCAATGCTCACAGCCCAGACTGCCGGGAACTGTAGCCAGAGCAGCAGCATCCTCCTTCCAGACTTCTCCTCCAACCCTGGAATCGCCATCCTGGCTAAAGTTGCAACTGCCTGGGCCTCGCTCATCCAGTTTAGAAACTTGCCTGACAGGCACTGAAATTAAGGGAAGGGGGAGAGGGCCTTAAGGAGGCAGCATTTGGCCTGAAGATAGGGAGAGCTGAGCAGAAGCCCATCCAGGCCACTGCCTTGCCCTGGAGAAGCTACTTCCCCTCGTATCTTCCATTTTCTTGTCTTGAGAAGAACCTAGGTGGTGGCCACATTCTCTTTTAACCTCTCACATCATGCTTATGGCCAGTGGGAGAGGGAGAAGCCGAGCAGCCCACACGGGGATGAGCCCACGACCAGGGCCTTATTAATGGATTTCTGACAGCAGTGAAGGCTCATCCTCCTTCCTGGCTCCTCACCAGCCTGTCATAGCACCTGCTCCGTGCACAGCTGTGTGTCAGACTCCGAAGATAAAAAGACATGTCAGCCAGACTCTGGCTCTCAGGAGCTCAAAGCCAAACAAGAAATCCTCACCAGCTTCATGTGCTGGGTATGGTCCTGTAAAAACAATAGCAGACCTCTTTATCCTGTGTGGGGAATGATTAAACAGCGTTGTGCATTTGATATGACACTCTGTTGCTGTAATAGAGCCCAGGGTGAGATAAGATTAAAATAAGTGCCACAAAGGAGAACAGAAGAATCTTTCATCTCCAGAAAGCAATGAAGACAGACCCCAGATATGAGAGAGGTCTGGCTCTAAGTGGCACAATCAAATTATATAAGGCTGTAATGAGCTTGACACAATTGGATTTCCATACGTGGCTCTCGACGCCCGGTCCTCACCCAAGGCAGTAACAGTCCTGTCCTTGAATGAGGAGCCATGTGCTGGAAGGTAGACGTGTGGCGGGCGGAGGGGGTCGCTGTCCTGGGCCCAGATGGAGGTTCCAGGCAGAGGGAGGGGAGGACCGACAGGGCTGGTCCACAGTCTTTCCTCGCTGGATGCTCGCTTCCGTTCTCACCATCCAGAGAAGGCTCTTCCTCGGATCTACAGGCAGACGGAGCTGCCGACCCCACGCCCCGGCCTCCTGCCGGTATTCGGAGGCCAGGAAAGGCAGTGGTGCTGTCCCGGCGGGGACCCTTCATGCCTGGATCTGACTCCCTGGGCTCCTTTCAGCACCCAAACCAGCCCAGCAGGCCGCTTGGAAGGGCCCTTTCCATGCCGGGGACAAGCAGGCAAGAGATGGGAACTGTCACACTTTGCCAAGGACTCTCGTCCTGCTCATGGTCCGTCCCAAAGTTACGGGGACCTTCACGGACACAGCAGGAGGGACTCTGTGCCCCAGGATGGGTGGGCTCTTCTGCTCCCAGCGGCGAGGACCTCAGGCTGCCTCTGGGTCTGCAGGACTCCAGATTCTGGCAGCATTTTTCTTTTAACCAGCAGAAGCCCTCTGCCCATCCATCTCCGTCTCTTGCAAAGACTCTTTCCTCCTGGACCTCCCTCTGTGGTTGTGCTGCCGTCACCGTGACACCGACCCTGGCTGTTAGGTGGAGGAGAGCGGCCAGCACACTGTGTGCGGCCTCCCCTGCCTCTGCAAGCAAGACACTGCCCCGGCCCCGAGCTACTGTGTGGCCTCCGCGGGGCCTCAGCTCAGGGCTTCCCAGGCTGGAGCCGGGAGGGCTTTCAATCGTCCTTGTGAAAGCTGGAGGGGTATATGAGAATGCATCCCACACTCCCCCCCCACACACACACACCTCCCCACCACCACCGTGTCACACATGCGTGCACCTGCTCTCATTCCATAGACACGCGTGATGAGCACATACGTGCATTGGTCCATCCGTGCTGGAATCCACTCCCCAAAGCAGACATGCAGTTGTAAATACATTTATTGATTTAAAAATTACAAGGCATTGGGGATACTTCCATGAACAAAGCTGAAACTCCCCCCATCAAGGAGTTTATGTGCCAGGGCATAGTGGCAAGGTGAACCCTGAAACCATTTACTCCCTTAGTGATAAGTAAGTATCAAGGGAAAAATGGAAAGAAGGGAAGAAGTTAAGAAGTGTGGGATACTTGGGGGGCTCAGGGATTGAGCATCTGCCTTCGACTCATGTCGTGATCCCAGGTCCTGGGTTCAAGTTCCACATCGGGCTCCCTGCTCAGTGGGGAGTCTGCATCTCCCTCTGCAGCTCCCCCTGCTTGTGCTTTCTGTCTTGCGCGCTCTCTCTCTCTCTCTCTCTCTGTCAAATAAATCTTATTTTTAAAAAAAGAATTTAAGAATATTGAAGGGCACAGATGCACATTCCTTGCTTTTCTAATTAACTGATGTTTGGGCGCCTGCTGGATACAGGACTGCACTGGGCCCTGGGGAGTGTCGGGAGAGCGGTTAATACATTTTCCTTTCTAGAGCTGGCGGTTTGGTTAGAGATGAGAAATTCCCTAGTGCAATAGTGAATAGGTAAAGGTCATGAAGCTTTGGGAGGAAAGAGAGCTTTAATGGGTGGTATTTCTGCTGCTGGGATGGCACCGAGACTGGAGACATGAGTGGAAACCCCCAGGAACTCTGAGCAGGGCCAGGCTGCACCAGGTGGGTCCACAGAGGCCCAGACCCAGTCCCAGGGTCCGTAAACAGAGGTCCGTGGGGCTGGGAAGAAGCCTCCTTGTCCCCTTCACAGGCATCACCTGGGAATGCTGCTGCTCCGGGACTGCCTGCTGTCACCACTGGCTTTGCCAGACTTGCATCTGGTCCCTCAGCCTCGCTCATGCTCTTTTCTCTGCCGATCACAGAAGGCCCGCCTTGCCAGAATCCGCGTGGCCAAGACAGGCAGCTCCAATGCCTATCTGCACAGCAAGCGCAACGGACTCCTCACGGAGGCACTGGAGCTGATGGTAGGCACCTGGAGGGCCTGGCAGTGGGAATGGAGGGGGATAGGCTGCTCTCCTCTTTCTGGGGGCACCACCATCTCAGAGGCCCAGTGTGAACCCAAAGAAAGACACGTGTCCAGACCTTCTCTGGGGGGCAGCCCTCCACAGACCCTCCCATTGGATTGTCACCATCACACCAGACCCCACTGAAGACCCAGGGCTCCCAGCCCAAAAGCTGGTGTGTTCTCTGGTGACCCTAAAACTGGGCTCACCATGAGTCCTCTAGTGCTCTCCTGCGTCCTGTGGAGAAATGAAGGACGTGGGGGAAGACAGGAAGAGCCACCAGCACTATCCCCAGCCTCTTCCTTTCCTACTAGGGCACCCCAGAGGAGGAGCACATGGGCAAGACCACTTCGCTCATTGAGAGCCAGCACCACCATCTGCTACACTGCCTGGAGAAAACCACTGTGAGTCCCAACCACTGCACCCCTTCTCACCCCTGACCCCCGCCTCCTCTCTGAGGGCCAGAGCCCACAGAGCGAGGACTCTGCACTCACATCCTCACCCTGGGCCCAGGCTGCAGAAGTCAGTGTCTCCATCTCCAATACAAAAAGTAGGAAGGAGGTCTCAATCAGGCCTCGGGAGGAAGGCCCCACAGATGAGGTCACAGTCACCAGGGGAGGAGGCCAACACAGGAGATGGTGCCCCCTCCACAGGCCCTCGAGCCCATTTCGTAGTCACTACTGCAAGCTGAGGGCTCTGCTTCTCAGTTGTTCAGTCCAGTTGAGCCTTACTCCTCAAAACTTGGGCTGGACTTATCCTAGATTGCCGCAGAGCTTCTGGTCCTCTCCCTGGGGCTAGGCCAAGGCAACCTGTGGGTCCCTTTTGCTTCCTACATCACTCCTTAGACAGAAGACAGTGAGTGAAGGAGGGGGTGCCTGTATTTCTATAACCAGGGATCTGATCAACTCCAGTCTCTCTCACTCACCCTAGGGCCCAAGGGAGCCCAGATTGCGCAAGATATATTATTAAGATCAAGCCATGGTTTAGGATGCTGTAGCTGGAATGTGGCATGTTGCCTGTGCCCCCACAAAGAGACAGAAAGGAAGGGCAGTGGGGCCAACTCTGGACCCTTGGCAAAAAAAACTTGAGAGATAGTAGGAAAGAGGAGACATCAGGTGGACAACCCAAGAGAGACAAAGTGCAGTTCCTTGTTCCTTTCTAGGCCTGCCCTCCCCAAAGAGCCCACAGTCAAGGCTCAGCACCCATTCTACTGAATGTGCCATATTTTGGCTTCTAAATGCAGGGGGGATAGATGGCAGATGATTCTTTATATGAGCCAAATGTGGACACTATATGGCGGTTGGACCCAAAGAGGGCTTCCAAAATGGGAAGGTACTCAAAACCCTAGTTGCCAAGATTTGTCAAATCTGTCTCACTGTCAAGAACTGCACATGTGCATCTAGAACTTCTCTCCAAGACCCAGAGCTTGCCAACGGGATAGGCCTGGACCCAACTGCCCTTCCCAACTTGCATGTGCTGGGTGCAATGTGTCAACTGAAAGGATCTGGGTAAAAATGTGTGGATTTGAAGGTCTGGAATATTGGCCTTGAAGAGTTGAGATGTTGGGGATGGAGGGATGGAATGCTGGCACTGACAGGGAGGAATGCTGAACTGAGGGAGTGAATGTTGGACCGTGGGGCCAGGGAGCTGGGATTCAAGAGATGGAATGCCGGGTTTCAGGGAAGGGTTGTTGGCAGAGAAGGAGAATGTTGGGATGGAAGGAGTGAATGTGGGGTCTCAACAGGGTCCTGTTGGAGCAAGGGGTGGAATGTCCGGACAAAGGAGGGAGAATGCGGAGAGCAAGGGGTAGAATGTGGGACTCTAGGTGGAATGCTGGGCTGGGGGGACTGAATGTCAGAATGGAGCTTGGGAATGCTGGAATGTACAATCAATGGTGTTTTTATCTTCTGTTGGCATGTTGTCCTGTAGGGGTTGTCCTATCTTGTGGATGATCCCCTGTTATCTGTACGAACCTCCACCATCAAGGTATAACTTTTTAAAAATTCAATTGATGTTTTCCTCTCTGATTCTCCTGAGTCTGTGGATTCTCCTCTTTTCACCCCCGGGTCTGGTTCTCTGCATGTGCTGTCAGTTCTTCTGGGGCTTTTCCTACCTCTCCTACTGCACCCAGTAGCAGCTCAGGCTTTGGGGGCTCTGTGCTAAACTACCCAACTGCTTCTCCCCAAGGGCTTGGAGAGGGCGGCGGAACAAGGTGCCCACCTTGGTGCCCCGTGAGTGTCCATGTGCCACTTCCTCAGCCCCGCGGGGACGCCTGGTACTGGCTACCAGGGCTGGTCGGTCTCTCTCTCTCTCTCTCTCTCTCCCTCCCCCCTCTATTTTCATGCTACTTCTCTCTGGACTTTCTTTTCACACTGGTGGCCTCAGCCAGACTATTAATGCCATAGGTTTTTAGTCACTTTGACCAAACAGCCATCTTTCCATTATTCTGGGTTCAGTACCAGGAGACATCCGCATTCCTTCCTATGTGTACATCTGATTCGGGGACTCCTGTGCCTCTGGATATATTAAGGATCCATATCCTGTGGTCAGGTGGGAGAAAACAAACCACAATGATCATAACCCTACAGTCTGACCCCAGCCTTCAAGAGCAGGGCTCTTTCACTTCTGTGAATAATCCAGTGCCTTTCAAAGCTTATATTTCACACTTTCCCAAGATTCATAAGGATCTCACCCCTTAAATCCAGCGTAGCACTGAAGACATAGAGTACCCTCGCCCCCAAGTCAGCCACTCCTTACGCTGCCACCTCCAGGAGATCCTGTGCAAAGTCAGTCGAGTGGGCTTCTAGTTCTGAGGAAGCAGCCCTTAAATGCCTCCAGGCCCTCTGTATCAGCTCAAAGCCACAGCTGGAGCGTATATCCCATCAGGATTTAATGGCTACAGTTCCCACCATTCAACCGGATGGCCAGGGCTGCCGATAGGAATCTTTTTCTTTCTGCATTTGATGCCCGTGGGACATCGCCCCTCCCATATGCTTATCTGTGCTCCAGGCAGCTGGGTATCCTCCTCCCAAGGCCCAGACAGACAGGCAACCACACAGAGCACGGGGGCTCATCCCCCTCCTTGCCATACCCTTTTCCTACCCCTTCTCCTTCTGCTTCCCACAGAACCACGAGTTCATAGATGAGCAGATGTTTGAGCAGAACTGCATGGAGAGCTCGATGCAGAACTACCCATCCACAAGAAGTCCTTCGCTGTCCAGTCACCCGGGCCTCACGACCACCTGCTGCTCCCGTCGTAGCAAGAAGACCACACACCTGCCCAACTCCAACCTGCCAGCCACTCGCCTGCGCAGCATGCAAGAGCTCAGCACCATCCACATCCAGGGCAGTGAGCAGCCCTCCCTCACGACCAGGTGGGTGGCTTCTATCCCCATCGTTCCCCAAGGCTTGAGTCGTGCCAGTCCCAGAAGGGAACAGCCTCAGCCTTGGGAGAACTGCTAGCCCTCCCTCCCCACTCATTTGAGGCATGAGCCTCCTCCACCTTCCTTCCCATCCTTGCAAGTTAACCCAGAGGCCCTTCTTATGCTTGGGAGGATGCTGTAGCGGGTTTAGGCCCAAGGTAGGGTTAGAGACCAGAAACAGTAACTGGAAAAAAAAAAAATGAAACAAAGAAAACCTGTCCCGGTGCATAGAATGGATGTTTTCTCAAGGAAACAGTTTTCACAGTTGTGTTAGACATGACTTATCCCAGGCTGATTTTGGACCATAGACTGACCTTTTTCCTCCTTTCTCCACTTATACTTAGGCCACTTCCCATGACCTCCAATGAGTTGCAAAGAATTCAGGGAAAACAAAAGTCAAATGCCACAAATGATAGGTAAACAGTCTATGAGCAAGGTAAAAATGGATACTCTGAATTCCAAAGCTCTGTGTAACTTGCCTTTGCAATTGTTAGAATTACTAATTAGAAGGGAGAGCTCCAGGATGATTAGCAAAAGCAGAGACAGAGGCCCGCAGGAGCTCGCCCTGGTTGCCATGAGCTAGACCTGCGGAGGTCGAGGGTGCGCTGGGACAATGGCAGGAAGAACCGTCACCAACTCACTCTTTTTTTATCCCAGTCGCTCCAGCCTTAATTTGAAAGCAGACGACGGACTGAGACCAAACTGCAAAACATCCCAGATCACCACAGCCATCATCAGCATCCCCACCCCCCCAGCTCTAACCCCAGAGGGGGAAAGTCGGCCAGCCCCCGCCAGCCCCGGCCCCAACACGAACATTCCTTCCATAGCCAGCAATGTTGTCAAGGTCTCTGCCTTGTAAACCATTGGACAGAGGGCCAGTGCAGGGAGTGAGGGTGAAGGGGGCTGGCCTGCAGGTGGGCAGCCACCGGCACCACTCCCCCACCTTCCCCACTCTTTCTGCCTGCCCTGTCACACCCCTAGCACTGACAACTTGTGCCTGGAAGGAAAAAGGAGGTGGCAAAGGGGCACCTGAGGTTCACCGCTGCTGGCGGGGACATGGACAACGGCCGGGCCCTGTGATCCTGCACCTCGCTGGGGCCAGAGGAAGGGAGGGTAGTAAGGGATGGGGTGGCAGTGGGCGATATGGAGGCAGCGTGCCAGGGCAGGGCCTGGAAGGGGGGTTGCCTCAGACCCAAGAACAGCTGTTTTTGGAGACCCTGGTGAGGAAAATACAAGATCAAGGGCAGCACAGGGGCCGAGTTGTCACATGCAAAACAGGAAGAAAATATAACACTGTGTATTTAAGCACCTTTTTCAAGGCTCTTAATGGATAATATTTATTCATGGGAAAAGGTGGAAAACAAAACACCAACGGATTTTTGTGAAATATTTTTCTCCATGGACCCAATACCTTTGAACCAAAACAATGCATTTTGTGAAGGTTTTTTTTCTCCTTTTATAGAAGAAGCTTTTAAGCTAAGAAGTCAGTTATTGCTGAGTTCTCTCTCCATCCCCCAGGTGGGTGAGGTCACGTGAGCCTGGGCCCCCACTGCCCAGCTGACCTGCACAGAGCTGCCATCTGACCACATGGCAACACTTCCCTCCATCTGTCCTTTGTCTCTGTACCTCTCTGCTTCGCCCCCTGGCTGTTTTTCTCTGTGTCCTGCCATCCGTCTTCACATGGACCCCAGTGATCCTGAGACAAGTTAGTAGAGCCTCCTCCAGTACCAGGCACCTGCAGGCTCGTGCCTGGGAGTTATATCTGTGTGAACACAGCTGTGGAGAGGAAAGAATAAAGTTTAGGGACGAGGGAAGCCCACTATACCGAGCAGAGCGCTTCCCTTGTGGTTGGAACCAGTGGTGTTTGCAGTTTCCGTTTCTGGGGGGGAAAGGGAAGGACTAGATTTTTCACACTGGGATCTTGACACGGGAGAGGGACCAATCCCTAGGAGGCACAGTTGGGTCTGTGTGTGCCAGTGAGGAGAGAGCAGAAGGACTGGGCTCATAGCTGCAGTTGGCCCTGGAGCACCTTGCTATGTACCCTTCCTTCGGGACTCACCACAAAACCCACCCAGAACTCTGCCAAGAGGCCCCATAAGCAGCTTCCTGCAGAAAGGGTAAGCTTCTGGCTCACCTTATGACAGAGGTAATGCCCATCCAGAGGCTGCAGAAGATTCAGCTTGTGTGCTTCATGAAGGACGCTCCACAGCGTGAAAGCAAGTAAGCGATTCTAGATGATTCTTACCTGATCTGAAAAGTGTTTGAGGTCTGAAGAGTCTTCAGGCCCAGTGCCCTGAAGGTTCCTGGAGTGGAGAATGAAGTCTGATCACCTCCATGCAAGGGAGGGAGTGGAATGTTCCTTCTGGAGAAGCTTGGAGGCCTGAGGTTAGTGAGGAGCCCCTTCCCACGCTCCCCGTGGCTGTCCGCCCAGCTTGGGCTCCGAGGTACGCAAGCCCCTTACCCATCCTATGGTTTGGAGGCTAGCAGTCTCACTGCAGGCTGCGAACCTCCATCCACACGACTGCCTAGATGCGTCTCCCTAGTCAGGAGCCTGCGAATACCTTCGGTGGGCTTCCCTGTGAGCCCAGCCGTGTTGACCTGTGGACAGGGAAGGTCAGTGGTCCTGCGGGCATCTAACCAGAAGGCGTGCAGGGGGGCAGGGGGGCAGGTGGGCAGACGACTCGGAGCCTTTACCTCTATCTCACGCTGTCCTCGCTGAGCACTCACTGCCTCCTTCCTCTGGGTCTGGCCTCAAGGACTCCCCCAACATGAGGACTGGGTGGTCTGGGTTCGTGAGCAGAGGAATATATGTGTACACAACCACACACACCTTCACACCCACTCACACACCATACACACCCTCACACACACACACACCACACCTTCACACACACTCACACCCTCACACCCACTCACACCCACCACAGCCTCATACCCACTCACACACCACACACACCCTCACACCCACCCACACACCACACCCGCATACCCACTCACACACCCACACACCCACCCTCACACCACACACACTCACACACACTCACACCCTACACACTCACCACACACACACCACACATACCCTCACACACCCACACCCACTCACACCTACCCACACACTACACCCTCATACCCACTCACACCCCACACACCCACACCCTCACACACCACACATACACCCTCACACCCACTCACACCCTACACAGACACCACACACACATACACTCATACCCACACACCCTCACACACACACACACACACACACACACACACACACCAGACAACAATCTAAAAACATAACCGAGAACAAGTACTTAAATCCTTCACTTCGTACACATGCCCCCTTAGGGAAGGCAAAAGACCGGGTGGGGGCCCTGCAGAGATGAGGCAAAGGACTAGAAACAGAACATTTCCTTTGAAAGAATGGTAATGGAATGAAGTTAGGACCTAAGTTTACATCATAAAAACTGAGGAAGGTGAGGGGTAAAGAGGGAAATAGGAACGTGGTCACATATACATACAAACTGTGGGTGTTTGAAGACAGACCATCACAGGGTTAGAATAAGGACAGCATCCAACCCAGGATCCGTCCAATTGTGCACCAAGGGAACGTATTTATGCTTTCCACAAAAATTAATGAACGGATTTTTAAAATCATGTCCCAAATTTCTCATTTTTTGGCTCTAATGACCCACTTTGTATTCCTTGAATTTCATTTCTAAATCCCACATTAAGCCAGTTCCTAAGACTTTAGGCTATCCCCTTCACCTCCATCCCCCCAATGTAGCCTTAGCCAAGGATAAGAGGCCCAGCCCACCTCTGGTCCAAGAGATGTCAACCCCAGAAAATGGCTCATCTACGCAACAGAATACGGCAAGACTACACTGCAAGAACTTTTGTAAGTCAACAAAAAGGCCTAAGTGTGCTGAATCAGCTTAATAAATCTAACCTGTTGGCCAGTCACCAGGAAGAACCAGGATGTCAGAGTCTTCTAGAGGTAATGGCTTTCTGGGGCAATGACTCTTGAGCTTTCATAGTTTCTGAACCACTTGAGCATAACAGAAGATTCCCAAAAACATTTATCCCATTTGATACCACTCAGCACTAGAGAGTATTTAAAAAATAATCATTATAGGCTACATTCAAATGAATGGAAACTTAGAAAATATACTATGAAGAGTATATCAGAACTAGAAGGGATCAGGGAATATCTAATTGATTTTACAGTGTAGAAAGTTGAGGCCTAGGGAAATCAAGTGAGTTGCTCAAGGTCATGCAGTCATTAATGTCCTAGCTGGGACCAGCTAGGGACTGTTAGTCTAATGCTTTTTCCAGTGCACTGGCTGCCTCTCAGTGCAATGATGCCTCAGAGAAGACCCATCAAAGAATACGGGCTGTAACTGGAGACATAGTCTTAGGTAAATGTCAATATGACTTGGACACAGCCCTGGGGAACCATCTGACTGTGGTAACACAAACCATCCTTTTGAAACCATCATTCGCTGGGTAGAACTAGCTATGGGCCATCAAGTCTGTCCAAAAAAAGGTGAACAAGTGAACAGTTTTCATTCAGCCAAATGGTACCTCTTCCCCATGAAGAGAGAGCTAAAACACTTCCAAGCATACTTCTAGGATCCCTTTGATCCTTGCTACAACCTAGGATGGTAGGAGGTCAAGTGATTAAGTCCTTAATTCACAGGGAAAACAGGTGGCAAGAAGCTCAGTGACTTATCCAAGCTCACATGGCAAGTTAGCAGCAGAAGCATTATTGCAATCCAGGGTTTACACACCTTGTCCTGAGATGTTTCTCCTCCGAGTCACGTTGCACTACTCTGGGGCTGGCCTCTATTTTTAATACTTGGATTTCCAGGGTGGTGATTAGGGGGAGGAAGCATTCCATTCAGAACCACCATGAACCAGGACCTCCAGAAGCAGCCTCTGTACTATTTTGCCTTCATCCCCTATTCTCTTCATGTGTCGAGTTCAGGACAACCTGCACAGAATCCAGTTTGAAAGACTGGATATTCTCAATGACACTTGAACACATTAACCCACAATCACACAGGAGTTTCAGGTCAGCAAGTAGAAAAGTGAAACTAAGAGAAACAAAGAATTTGAATGGAAATTAAAGTGGACGGTTAATGCCGATCTCCGATTAACAAGTCACTCTGTGGATGTGCTGAGGAGCTTTCAAGTTACAATTTCTGCAGTTCAGGATCATGTCACTTATCAGAATATAGGTAGGAAAGGTGTACACTGAAATACGTGCCTAGAGTTTTTCGTCATTTTCTTAACTTTGCAGAGGTAGTGGTTGAAATTGAGCTAAACTTAGATTCTGAGGTTTTTGATGAAGTCTGGCGGTCCAGGCTCCCTCACTACAATCATCAGGTAACTACAAGGCAGAAAGATCCCAATGCTGTTAATCTAAGACAATGTTAGTTTCCCTTCTAAACTAGTTGGCATGGTAACCATGACAAATGGGAACCTGAAAGACTTTTCATTTTCCCTGATTTCCTTATGAAATATCATCATTTGCAAAGCTTTAAAATGACTGGATGAAGGAAAAGCATTTTTATGACCCATGACCCTTGGAGCCCAAATAGCATCATGAAAAGAAAGTGGCTATCAGAAAAAGAAAGAGTTTTAAAGGGGTTCTTTTTGAGTCTTGTTTTCTATTCAGAATGTTCTATGTTTTTCTCATCAAGTGTGGGAATGACATTTATCTTAGCAGGTTATTTAACTACACTGGATGATGTCACTCTGAACCAGTGTATGACACTGACCCAAGTCCTGGGGGGCTCCTTGGACCAATAGACTATTTTACAAACCTGGGAGGTGGGAGGGATGGTATATTTTTGATAACCAGACATTCCAATGTAATGTTTTCCTTAGAGGTCACTCCCCTCCGTTAATGTTATCGTGAAAAACATCAAGTGTGTTCTTTTCTATTTTCATATAAGTGGGCTTTGCTTACCAACATCTCAATGGCAAAGAAGAAATACTGTAAAAAAAAAATACTGCAGGAATATAAACGTGAAAACTTTCTATGGAAAAAAAAAACTCGAGTTTCCTGTCGTCTTCTTTTGAAAACTGTAGTGCATATGTTAAAACGTATTATCATTTACAGTACCGAGTCGTGTGCCACTGCTGTACCTGATGTATCCAATCTGGATTAAACAGACTACGTGCCACAAACCCACAAGTGATTACGAATGTTTATTTTCCTACCACTTCTCCTGCTATCCACTAGGAAATAAGGGAGATGTCCACAGACAGGCTGTCTTATGGAAGAAAACGCACAGTGTTTCTGCAGGGTGCCTTGGGCTGGCCTCATGGCTCTTCCCCAGCCTGGAGCACTGTTCTCACCAGCTTGTATGCTTTAGTCGGGATCTCAGTTGGCAAGTACTGGCTTGCTTTTGTCAACAGCCCTGTTTTGAGCCTCAGCCCTGTGTTGCTGAAAGGAAAGCTACAGTTACGTTATCAGTCCAGGTTCTGCTGAGAATTCCTTTATCTCAACCGGGGTCTTAAACTAAAAAGAAAAAAAGGCTGTGTGGAGTACAGCAGGGAGCTCTGGAATTAGATGATGGAGGCTCACATTTAGGTTCCGTTGCTTACTTGCATGACTTCTCATCAGGTATTTTTCTCTCACCTTTGGTGTATTTCCCCTTAAGAATGGGGGTACTGGATTAGGTAGGTATCTTGACAATTGGCTCTAACCTTAGTAATGCTGATTTAGGTAGCATAACAGGCATTTTCATATTCCACCATAATGTGAACAACACACAACCCCAACAACGGGAAGCCTTTTAATCTCCCCAAACCACAACCTAATCAATGGAGACCATAATAGAAGGGGGACACCAAGGCTAGCTCAGAGGCCTATGAAATTCAGATGCTCAAATCTTTATCACCCACTAGGTGTCACTAGGGATCCGTAGCTCACAGAATCGAGAGCCCAGGAACTGGAAACCAGGTGTGCACTGAGCAATGCATGTCAAATAGTGTAATTCCTGCTCAATTATTTTTAGTATTTGAGGGTTTAGTATAAACCCTCGTTTTTAAAAGGTATGGCTGCAATACTTAAACTACTTTAGAAAATGTTACTTTATTACCCCAAATAATTTTCCTAAGTCAGAATTATCCACAGCAGCAGGTTTCTTTTTTCTTTCTTTTCCTTTTTTTTTTTTTTTGGTGTGTGTGTGTGGATATAGTAACCCATTTATTTTTTCCGTATTTTTTTTGGAGTTCAATTTCCAAAAATATAGCATATCACCCAGTGCTCATCCCGACAAGTGCCCCCCTCAGTGCCCGTCACCCAGTCACACCAACCCCCCCGCCCACCTCCCTTTCCACTACCCCTTGTTCCTTTCCCAGAGTTAGGAGTCTCTCATGATCTGTCACCCTCACTGATATTTCCCACTCATTTTTTCTTTCTCTTTTATTCCCTTTCACTATATTTTATATTCCCCAAATGAATGAGAACATACACTGTTTGTCCTTCTCCGATTCACTTACTTCACTCAGCATAATACCCTCCAGTTCCATCCACATTGAAGCACATGGTGGGTATTTGTCGTTTCTAATGGCTGAGGAATATTCCATTGTATACATAGACCACATCTTTATCCATTCATCTTTCGATGGGCACCAAGGCTCCTTCCACAGTTTGGCTATTGTGCACATTGAGCAGCAGGTTTCCTAAAGATTTCTCTACACGTTAATACTGCTAGCCTGATTTAAGTTACAGCTTAACTTGAATAGTTGTAGTCAGCATATTAGTTAGTACTCTGGAATTCAGACGTTAAACCAATTCACACTAGCCTTTATCCAAATCACCTGAATTTATAAAGGCTCTATGTATTCATGAAATGATTATTCTTCTCCCTAACTAGTTGGTATTTTCTCTTATTAGTCATGTATTAATTAAATCTTAGAAACTGAAAGGAAGCCTAAAAATCTTCTAGTCTTAACTCCCTCATTTAACTGAGAAAACTGGACCCTAAAAGGTCATATGACAGGTGTAAGATGAAGGAGGCAACAGTCTCCACTAGGACGAATGCTCTTTTGCACTACACCACAAAGCATTCAAAACAAGTGAATTTACGTAAAACCTATGGTTTCTAACAGACTGTGGAGACACGCAGGCACCTTGACTGCCAATTCTAAAGTCTTCCATGTAATCATGCACAAACAGCAGCAGGTTCCTTCCACAGCCACCACTAACACAGCATCCTTTGGGAAGGGAATGGCTGAAATTTTCCAAGTGAATGCTTATGGAAAATGAAGCAATCATTATTTTCCTGTGTTATGAGTATTCTCACCTCCAGCTTATTTTTCTATTAAAAAAAAGCAAAACAAGACAAACCTCAGAGAATCCGATTAATTTCAAGACTAATGGGCAACCTCATCTCTAATTAAGATGCAACAGTATCCTAATTAAAATCCCCTAGCAATGACAGACTGTGAACTTGGCTGTATTGTGGGGGAAAGGGTAGAAGAAAAGAGGGAAGTTCAATTAGTTAGCAATGACAGGATCTTATCGAAATGTGTAATTAAAGTCTCTACCTCTTAATGACATGCTGGACCTAATTATGGATTTTCTATTTACAGTGTTAATTTATTCTAACTTGGCAATACATGCACAGTATAGACACATGTAAGCAAAGCCTACCAATGCCCAACCCAGATGACGAATCCAAATTAAACAGGAGTTTAGGGTGGTGGCATGTGTTGGATAGTAAATGACAATGGCTGTGCACGTTTGCTGACAGCCCTGGGATAAGTGTTTGTACTTCTCTACCTAGATAAGTACGCACACAGGAAAGAGCTTTCCTTTTTAAGATTTTACTTATTTCATGAGACACAGAGAGAAAGAGAGGCAGAGCAGGCTCCACGCAGAGGGAGCCCACCGTGGGATGAGATCCCGGGTCTCCAGGATCAGGCCTTGTGCTGAAGACGACACTAAACCGCTAAGCCACCCAGGCTGCCAAGAGCTTTTCTTTTAAAAAGTAAATACATTTCTATGAGGGGATTCTCTCACTACAAATCCAGTTCACAAAAAGGTTTGGGAACCCAATGCATACTCCTGAAAGGATTGCCACAGAAAAGCAACGAATAATGTGTATAGTTGTCCCCCCCTTATCCACAGAGAGTATGTTCTAAGATGCCCCGTGGATGCTGGAAACTGCGGATGGTACCAAACTCTGTATGTACTGTTTCTCTCCTATACATGCACAGTAAGAGAGTAGCAATAATACAACATACTAGAAGTTATAAGTTACCTAAATGTGGTCTTTCAAAATCTTATTGTACTGCACTCACCTTTCTTCTTGTGATGATGTGAGCTACTGCTGGTCTGATGGTACATCAAATGGATGGTCTGCTTTTGGACCACAGATGCAGGGCAGGGGTGTGTGTGTGTGGGGGGGGGTAGTTGAAATCATAGAAAGTAAAATCTCAGATAAAGGGGGAACTGCTGTAATTTCAATTACATTTTTTTTTCTGAATTTTAATTTATAGATGCCCCATCTAAGAAAAATGGGATGCTCCCCACTAGGGGTCATTAAAAGCAAAAACTAGGGGAAATTTTAAAATGAAAGCATTACAAGAACTAGGGGGAAATTTCCGGAAGACCTAAGATTAGGACACCGTGTGGGAACAGCTTGAACAGAATGAGTTCCAGCTTCCTAAAAAAACTTAAGACAAAGAGCTAGAACTTTCTCTTAGCCTCCCAGCAGAGTAGGGCAGATACATGGATGTTAGAGGTCATAATGAACGCCTTAGAATTACATATACAATTGTTTACAGAATGGAAATTTTTCTGGCACAAATCTATAGTTTTCATCAGACTCCTAAAAGGATCCAAGAACCAACAGAGGAAGAGTTAGTCCTTTTCTTGAGAAACAAAAATAAGACAGCCACTGATGCTCCGGAGCTATTTAATATACAGTAAAAAAACAGACAGCTTTCACAATCTTAAAAACAAGATATTCAAATGATCAACAATAAACATTTTGCATTTTTACTGGTAACAAATATTTTTTAATGGAAGCAAAGAACATGAAAGCAAGTACCTTTGGGAAACGTCTGAAGCAGTATTTATTCCTTCCCGACGAAACATAAAAGGCGAAGGGATTTTCTGAGCTACCATGCTACAAATTTCTAAAAGAACATACCTCTATGGAAATACGAAGTACAGTTCAAGCCTTTTGTCAAGAACTCCACAGCATAAACTAGCATTATTTTTTTATATCTCAGCTGTTTCTTTATTTTTTCAAGTAAGCAGTGGTATAAAGTCTTTTTAAATGTTTCTTTTTCAAATGGCTTACAGAAAACGGCATCCTGGAACCTTTAGCTCTACGTCCCCCAAATTTTTTTTCAAGAATTTGATCCGTGAAAAATTTAAGAAAAAAAAAAAAAAAAAGAAGAAAATATACCTGGTCAGGTAGGTCAAGACAATCTGAAAAATAGATGTGTCCCAGCAGGAAGCCTCAAGACTTCAAATTCCTCAAAAATGCCACTCTACTCTAGGACAAGGGGGTTGGCTAACTAAAGGAATCGCTCACTGGTGTATGTGGATGGTCTGAGGTCCTGCCTGTAATCAATGGTTGCCGCGCATCATTTCTTGTAGATAAACTGTATTCATGTGATAAGCCGCCATCCAGCCTGGATGCCTCTGAGCATTCCAGTAATACGACTGAGAGGCAGCAGTGTAATAGTCCTGCCACGCCCTGTAGTAAGCCCTCCAGTATTCCTCATAATCCTGATAGGCGTCAGAAAAACCTGGATGCGTCTCCCCACAGCAGTCATACCAACCATCTTCCTGGGGCTCAGCCTGCGCTTGATAGGAAGACCACGGGGGGTTTCTCCGGCTCTGCTTAGCTCTCTGGTTAGCCCCCTCTTTATGCCTTGCCTTCGTTTGGGTTTCAGGTGATTCTTGACACTCTGCAGGATTAGGGGTGTCGTTTCCATTCAGAGGTTGTTCCAAAGATGTATGGCCATCCATAGGCGTGGACTCTGAGTCTTTCAGCTGAGTATCTGAAGAGCCTTCAAAGTAGGACTTATTTCCTTTGCTCTGGGAGGAAGTCCTCGAGCTGTAAGAATCACTGTCACTCTCAGAGTCTCCAGACTGGCTACTGCTTGCCAGCATCAGCACTTTCTCCTCAGGAACTTTACTGCTTACCAAACCATTCTGAGGATTCACAGTCTGATCCCCAGGACCTGTGTAATGCCTGATGATTTCCACAGGTTTCTCTAACCCCTCATTAATATAATGTTCATAATCCTCTACCAATTCTATAAAAGTCAAAGAGTATGGCAGATGGATTTTAAAGGAAGACAGACAAGGAATTTTGGGGAGTGACACAGGTAACACTTCTTTGACCTGGTGCTGACTGGCAGAGCTCTCAGCAGGGATCTGAACAGAATTCTTCACTTGCTCTTCCAACTGTATGCCACAGCCCCACTCTTTTGGAGACACTGCTTTTTCTATGATTCCACACTCTGAGTGGCTTTTTGCAGGAAGCTTTTGTTTGGTATTATTTTTTGATTTGACTAATAATGCAGACACAGAAGTATTTCTAGATGAAGCCACGTGGTTACCATGAGCTTTCTGAGTTTGAAAGGTTCTCTCCATTTTTTGAATCTGCTTTTTTAAGGGCTGGGTAGGTACACTTGCTAAGCCATATGTATGCATAGCAGCTTTAACCTCCACGTCCCAATCCAAACATTCCTCCATTAGACCAGGAAGAATGGGATCTACATAACAAGAACAAAAAGAATTTTAAAATTTTGAGCTGTTCTAGACCAGAAACTTTTGAATGACTTCTTATGCTTTCCAGGGTCAAATAAGGTTAAGAAATAAAACACACTAATAATATACTAAGACGCTTAAGAATTACATTATATTTGTATTTTAAAAGACCTAAACAATCCTTGCACTAAAGAAATATGCCCTCAGGCATGCCTGGGTGGCTCAGAGGTTGAGTCCAGGGATCCAGTCCCACCCACATGGGGCTCCCTGCAGGGAACCTGCTTCTTCCTTTCCCTGTGCCTCTCTCTCTCTCTCTCTCTCTCTCTCTCTCTCTCTCTCATGAATAAATAAAATCTCTTAAAAAAGAAAAGAAATATGCCCCCAAATATGCAGGACACATCCCATACCCACAGCAGTATCTCCCTGGACCTCCTGCTCAAAAAGAGCTCATGCAAGGAGTAAGGTCCATGCCTGCAGCAATTCTCCCATCTCTGCCCTTCTCGCTCTCCCCAGTGCCTCCCTTTTATCTGACTACTGCCGACAGCAAAACAAGATACTAGAAAATGGACTGTGCTTCCCCCAAAGCTTAACAGCTGGGAAACATTACAACTGCAGCTCTGCACCCAAGTAAACCAGCCACCCTATGCTCCCAACAGGGAGAAATCACTGCCCCCAACAGTGGGGAAAAACCTCTATTAGGGGTAAAAGTTAGAGGACTGTAAAAATATTGATGGTCTCAATGGCACTTGTAAGTTCTAAAACATTTGCTGGCTCCAGCTCTCTAAATTTCCTATTCCATCCAGGTGGGATGACTTACTCCGCCTGCAAACTCAGACCTTCCCAAAGTGTGATCAGTTTTCCTTAGGAAAACAAAACATACAGAGCCTCTGATTTACATGGATCTTGCCCATCTGTTGCTGCTGTCAGTGCTCCATGTACACGTACCCCTACCTAATCCCTCTGATCTGGACTCTTCAGCTGGGGCTCCTGACCTGGCTGAACAGACCGACCCTCTGACGAGAACTCTGATTCCCACTAAGGTGAGATCCCTCGCTTGCCTACACCTCTCCCACTCCTGCCCCAGGTACTTCATTGGAACAGTCTATTGCCGTACAAGTTCTCAGTCCAATATAAATCCAACACCATGAATATACTTTTCTCATGATTTCAGGGCTCTGTTAACATCACATAAAGATCAAAATATGTCATTTTCCAGTATCCAAAAGGCAAACTTAATTTTTATCACTAGATGCTATAACACTGAATCCTACCAAAGTCTTAACCCTCTTGTACCAATTTTCAATTTATTTTTTCTACATTATAATCATTTGATAGGTTACCAACAGACTTACACATATAATTAACATACTGTAATGTCTTAAAACAACAGAGAACCTAAAAACCATTTCTAAAAACAAATTTAGAAAATCAGGACACAAGCTTAGAGCAACTGAAGAAATCTGTGAAAATCAAAACTCACAAAATGAGTTATTACAAAGCCAGAGCTACTAGAATCCACAGAATTCCCAGACCTGTGTTTAATCTAGCTTTATAAAAAAATCACTAAATGAGTTATATATTAATTGGTAAAATATTCAATGCTACATTTATTCAATAACTACATATCCCATATTCTAGATCATGTATATACTGTATATTTATATATATATATTCACACATATGTACGTATACACATGTATACTTACAAACTAACAATGCAAATGTTAACATATATAGCAAACCACATTTCTACACAATTTTTTTTTAATTTTCAAGAGATCATTAATAGTTTGAGACGTGCAGTTTCCAAGGTGGCACTTAAAAAAATCAACTTGACAAATGACTCACTAAAATCAAAAGAAAACATTTCAGGGACTCCTGGCTGGCTCAGTTGGAAGAACATATAACTCCTGACCTCAGGGTCAGGAGTTCGAGCCCCATGTTGGTATGGAGATTGCTTAAATAAATAAATACTTTTTTTAAAAAAAGGAGAGAAAGAAAACTCTTCGAATTTTTTAAAATAGCATTCAAATTAAAGACACTACTCCTTCCTCATGGTGACAATGGAGAATATGGCTAGAATTATCTCTCATAGCAACAAAAGTATTAAACATATGCCCCATTATTTAAAAGAATAAAATGAAACTGCAAGTTTACAAACTGAAATATAGAGCTAACATAGTACTTAAATATTTTTCATGTGCCAAGAGTTAGCTTGCAATCTTCTCTCTGCTGCTTATGAGCTGTAAGAGTTTAGGCAAATTACTTAACTTTTCAATGCCTCAATACATTCATTCACAAAAAGTCAGTAATAATAGCACACACTTCACAGGATCGTGGCGAGAATTAAAAACGTTAATATACTGAATGGGACCAAACATATCCTAAGTACTCTGTGTCAGCAATTATTTTTAAGAGGCCTATCGCCAATATGATTGATTATTCTTTTGACAGCAAAATGAAACAGACAGGGATGCCTGGGTGGCTCAGCGGTTGAGTGTCTGCCTTCAGCTCAGGGAGTGATCCAGAGTTCCAAAATCAAGTCCCACACATCGGGCTCCCTACAGGGAAACTGCTTGTCCCTCCACCTGTGTCTCTGCCTCCCTCATGTGTGTCTCTCATGAATAAATAAGTAAAATCTTTAAAAAAAAAAAAAAAAAAAAAAGGAAACAGACAAAATATACCTGGTAAAGGCAGAAGATTGATGTTACATTTCTGGGCAATTTTCATCATCACGTTTTCTTCTTCTCCCCGACAACAGTAGGTCACTGTCAACCCCAAAGTACCTAAAAGCACAGAGGGCATGTTATGTCGTAGATCACTTTCACGTAAGTGACACTCCACCTGTCACATTTGCATTTCTTCCTCCTAGAGAAAGCAGCCAAACTTTTTTTCTTTATTTATTTATTTTTATTTTTTTATTTTTTTTACCAAAACGACCAGCTCTGCCAATCCGATGCATGTATGTCTCCCAATCCAATGGTACATCCAGATTTACTACCAGGTTCACCTTCTCAGCATCAATTCCACGGGAAGTCTTGGATTGAAGAAGACAGTAAGTACTTGCATTAACTGCCACACAGGCACCAACGCACACTCAATTATTCTAGTATAACCAAGAGCCGAGTTAAGAACATGAGGATATTTAAGAGCAAAGGAAAAAGAAATTAATTTCTAAGGACGAGTTTCAAGAATAAAGATGAAAATAAAAAACTTTGAAGAAAGCAAATTTCCCTACTAGAAAGATAATTCCCTTCTGATGTTCTTATCAGACACACCTATGTAAAATAAAAGATGAACCCTGTGCCTCTGATAACAGAGCCCAAGTCAAGATGGATTAGTCACTCAAACTGAACAGGAAATTTACCAAATCGGTGGAAATGAGGACTCTGCAATGAAAATGTTTCAGTTTGGCCATAGCATCAAGACGCTGATTCTGATTCATGTTGCCTAAAAAGACCCAAAAAGAAAGTCATATAAAAGCAACCTAATAAATATTTACCAAATCCACAAAAAAACAGAAATCATAACTATCGTTCTCAAGCTTTAAAAATACACCAACCCAAGTTAATTCTATCCTCATATGCAAATCAAGGTTAAGACCTAAAGTCAGAATCTTTTAAAATCTGGTTAGGCTGTCAGCTTGAAATTCAAGTATTAATTTTAAATGATGACTGGGTTATGCTTGCAGATTTAACACTATATCCGCAGAGTTACATATGAAGTAGAATAACTCTTAGGAAAATAAAATTGCTATAATCAGCTGTTTATAAATTTAGTTTTGAAGTGTGATCTACAGTCAAAATATTAGAAAAGTCTTCCCTGTACCCCATGATATATAATGACCAAACTAAGGCTAATAGGTTATAAACTAAGATATCAATGAAAACTCTAAAAAGGAGCTCACTGATCAAAAATTTCTTTATATCTTTCATTCCTACTAGGTCAGCAGTAATAATTGAGCTTTGTGTCAAAAAATGAATCATCTGGGCAGCCCTGGCGGCACAGCGGTTTAGCACCGCCTGCAGCCCGGGGTGTGATCCTGGAGACCCAGGATCGAGTCCCGCATCAGGGTCCCTGCATGGAGCCTGCTTCTCTGCCTCTCTCTGTCTCTATGAATGGATAAATAAAATCTTAAAAAAAAAAAAAAAAATGAATCATCTTGGGGCGCCTGGCTGGCTCAGTGGGAAGAGCATGTGACTCTTTACTTCAGGGTTGTGAGCTAAGCTCTACATTAGATGTAGAATTCACTTAAAAATAAAATCTTAAAAAAAAAAAAAAGAAGTTACAGGACTTCAAAACAGTTAATTCGGTAGCAATTCTTAGCATTTTTACAATGATTATGTAAGGTAGCAAAGTATTTTTCTCTGAAGATGACAAATTTTATAAAATTATTAAGTTCTTCACTGACATTCATTCCAATTTTCTAATTTCGTATTACATACCAAATTGCCTCTTGAACAAGGATATCGATATGTAATCTCTCAATGAAAAATTCACCTCCAATTTCCTTTACTCTGAAGACTCAGTGCAACCTCATACTCACAAGACAACTCACAAAGTAGTTATTTCCTCCTCCTGATGTTGGACATGCTTCAAGTCAGAACACTAAACAAAGACTAAAGTAAGAGAGGAGCTTACCTGAAATGCACTCAGCAGGAAAGCCTTTAGCAGAAAGGATATCTGCCAAGTGTTGTGCTCTATGAAAAATAACATAGAGGGTTATTTTATAGATATGGCCCTGCACCTTTTATTTCACAAATTCTTCAGGTAACCTCTTAAGGTACATACCTGCTGTGCAAATTAGAAAAGACTAAGGCTTGATTAAATGGAATTCTGCTGAATAGTTCCTGTAAATGCTGAGCCTTTTCCTCAAAAATCTTATGGGCCAAAGGGTATGAATTGACAATTTTGTAATACTGCTTCAAACCTACAAAGAAGAGTCTTCTGTTAAAACAAATATATTTGCTATATCCTAATAGCAAATATGAAAGCACCAGCCAGTGAGGCAAGGGAAAGCTCCAGAAAAATCACAAACCAGTAATGTTAAGTATCCAATATCTCTTCTCACCTATGAGACTCGGGTCACTGGAATTTAGTCTTACAAAAGTGGGATCTCTCATGTACTTTGTCAAAGCATTAGCCAAAAATTCAGGGTAGGTAGCTGATACTGCCAACATCTGTTTACTAGCAGGCAAGGAAGAATAAATCCAGCTGCAAAACAGAAGAAAAACACACACCAGGGAAACCAATCACAGTAATTACCACCTGGAAAAGCTCAAGAGAGACACTTTAGGATACACTTTTAATAGTCAAGCAAGTTATTTTTCTTACTTTATTTGCTCCTGGAAGCTGCCTTCTTCTAAAAGCTTATCTGCTTCATCAAGAATAAAGAGACGTATACTGCCTGGGTTCAAGTAGTCAAGTTCTATCAGTTGTTTAATTCTGCCTAAATTCCAGAAGAAAAGCATACTGAATTATTCAAGATGCACTGAATATGTGCAAATCTTGGTCAATGTTGTTACTCAACTTACTCACAGGTTATACTGCTGACCTTCTTAACCTGACCCTCATTATTATGCATGTAAACTGAATCACAAAGCAGAAATTGTGAGTTCTGATCTTGCCTAAATCCATTATTTTTTCCTCATATTTCACCACCAATCAGTATGGATCATAAACACTCTTCCCATCAAAAGACTTGAATGCAAAAGCCCTGCATACTGAATTCTGATTTGAGTGATTCACAACTGAATGATTAATACAGAAATAATCCCAATCCATGGCTTAAAAAGGCTTCCTGAAAATCATCTCATTCCCCTTCTTCTGAGAAGCCAATTTCATACATGTGCTTAAACATCCTTAGGAATGGAGATCTCATACATAAATTCTGTTGGTAATCCAAATTCTGTTGGTAGTCACATGTTTGTATCTCACTGGTCTAAGCCTCTTCATTTTATAATTCTCAAAATAATTCTCATAGTTATCGGAGATTCCCATATTCTTATATTAATTACATTACTTATATTAAAAGTGTTCAGTTCTTAAGGAACCCTAATTATGAACAGGGTGATATCTTACCAGGAGAGCCAACAGCAATATGACACTTTTTAAGCCTGGTTTTGTCTTGTGATAATGGAGTCCCTCCAATAAAGACATGACACTCTAAGCCTTCCATTTTTATTCCAATAGCAGTAATAACAGAATGTATCTGTACAGCAATTTCTCTTGTAGGAGCCAAGATCAAAATCTAAAGAAGCATAAGATACATAAACCTTTAACAAGTCACAGGAGTAGATACGTATGATTGGCACATTCATACTACAGTGAGCTATCTTTCATTTAAGCAGTTGTTTTAAATGATGAGTTTTTACTGAAAAGGGAAACTAATCCGTTCATTCACCTATGTATTCATTCGACAAATATTAAGCAAGAACCTATTATATGTACTAAGAAACAAATAGGTCGCTGTGAACAGCCAACAATACACAGTCCTTGCTTTCCTCGTGGCACTTTCATTCTATGTAAGAAGACAAACAATAAAAAAACATTCATAAATCATGACATACAATGAAAAGTGCTATAAAGAAAAATCAAACAGGAAAAGAGAGAGAAGTGACAAAGAAGGGAGTTGTTTTGAATGGGCCAATGAAGGAAGGCCACTAAGGAAGTAACATTAGGGACCTAAGTGTACACTGCAGAGTAGACCCAGCTGTGTGACATCTGGGGAACTGTTTTTAGGAAGAGGACACAGCAAATGAAAAGGCCTTATGACAGTAATGTTTTTGATGTGCCTGAGGAACAGCAAGGAGGCCCATGTCACTGGACCAAATCAGGGTCAGATATCTAGGTCCATGAAAGAGAGCCTTGAGACTAATGTGACTAACTATGGGAGGACAAGGTGAAACTACATGTTCTCAGCTACGAGAAGAGAAGAAAAGAAAGAAAAGAAAAGAAAAAAAAAAAAAGAAAAGAAAAGAAAACCTAGGGAGAAAATATGCCAAAACAATTCACAGCAGTTTCTGGGTACATGAGGTTATGTGTTGTTTTCTGGTACTTCTTTGCTTTCCTGAATTTTCCAATTTTCAAAAATGAATATGTATTACTCTGAGAACACAAAGATCTGAAGTTTAAAAATACAAATTTGGTTTATGGAACTTATTCGGGATTTTAGCATTTCACCTACTGCCAAATTGTCAGAAGCCAAAATCTCAACTACATCTCAAATTCACAAGTAGAACAGCTTAGGTCTTTGGGAAGCAAAAGGGCTTCCTATGGGCACAACCCAGGATTTGGTAGATATAAAGGAATGTGGATATGCTGGCATACTGTTTATACATAACACGGGCCCAACAAAACTTTGTTAAAGAAATGATCCCCAAACCTAAGTCTCTTACTCATTTGGGTAGACCATCTTTAGACCTACTCCAAGAAAACCTAGAAATGGGAGATCAATAGGATATAGTCACAGAGCCCTAAGAATCACCTGCAGTTACCAGCAGCAATAGCCGGAGCACTGTCTTATCATCAATCAGGCCAAATACTAAATCTTACCACAATCGGGCCAGCAAGTAAAAGAATAAAGAAAACCTACCTGTATTCTCAGGCAATGCAAAAACTGACACACATGGCAGACATAATCTATTTAAGACGCAGTAATAGAAATTTCCAAACATCTAACACCAATGACGGATCCTTGGTCACTGTCCACACCACCACCATCCAATAGCTTTAATGTCTACTTAACTTCTAGACCTTTCATTTGCTTGACTCAACCATTCATCAAATCCATCTGTCTCTCGGGAGCTACAGGTATCGCATCCAACCCGTGATAAAGTCCACATAACGGGGGCGCCTGGGTGGCTCCGTTGTCGAGCATCTCGATCGCATCCTGTGATCGCAGCCCCTATGAGGCTCCCTGCACGGAGCCTGCTCCTCCCTCTGCCTATGTCTCTGCCTCTGTGTCTCTCATGAATAAATAAGTAAAATCTTTAAAAAAAAAAAAACACATCCACATAACATAACCTCCTTCGGGTCCTCCAGATCATACTCACCTGGGTACTTTGGTTTTCGAGAACAAGAGAGTCCAAAGCGATGGTAGAGAACACACAGGTTTTCCCAGTGCCAGACTTAGCTTGAACAATTAAATCTGAGGAGAAAAAAATGAACAGATCACAAGCCCGTACGGACCAAAGAAGCTTAGATACCAACACGAAGTCGCACAACCGGAAGGGCCTCCGGGGATCACCTAGTTGGCACCTTCGTCTTTAGTTAACTCAACAAAAAAACAAAACAAAACAAAACAAAACAAACAAACAAAAAAAGCCTAAGGCCACATCCGGAAACAGGCCTCGTCCCCGGACCTCCGCGGCTCATCTTGCGCCTGTCTCTGCGCCAAGGGCCGCCACCGCCTCCCGCCCGAGCGCCGCGTCGTCTGTGCCGCGGGGCTCCTCCCGCCCTCACCGAGCCCGCAGCGCCCCAGCGGGATGGCCTTGAGCTGCACCGGCGAGGGCCGCTCGAAGCCGGCCGCCCGCAGCCCCCGCAGCACCGGCCGCGACAGCAGCAGCGACTCGAAGTCGGCCGGCTCCGCCAGCAGCACGTCCCCGGTGCGAGGCCGCGGGCCGCTGACGTCGTGCGCCGTCCGCAGGCTCCGCGGCCGCCCGGGAACCGGCCCCGAGGCGGGGAGCTGGGCGGCCTCCGCGGGCGCTCCCGCCGCGGCGACTCCACGCGCCGCCGCCATCGCCGCCGCCATCATCGCCGCCGGGTCTCGCGGTACTTGGGCGAGGGCGGGGAGCTACGAACGAGAGGAGGGAAGGCTATTGGCCGTGCTCGCGGGAGCCGGCGGCACTCGGGGCCGCGGAGGCCGGGGAAGGCTCGGGGACGGCGGGGTCACCGGGGGCGGCCGCGGCGGCCTGCAGAGGGCGCCGCCCCGCCTCCCGGGCCTCCGCCAGCCGCCCCGCCCCGCGCCGCCCCGCCCCGCCGCCCCCTCGACGCGGCCTTTGTGACGCGCGCGGGCGCCGTCGACTCGGCGCCGCTTCACCGCCGTCTGCCCTCGCCCCGGCAGGGCCCGGCCCCCCGAGCTACGCTGCCATCTGCTGCACCGCGACCAAGCCCCGCTGCGCCGCCTGACCCCGGCGCGGGCCCTCGGACCTCTCCGAACCCAGCCCTGTGCCTCCGTCCGTCGTCTCAGCCTCCCACTCAAGGGCTCACAGCTCCCCGGCTCTGTGCTGCCCTCCGGCCGCTCCTGCCCCGGCGCCGGGCCCCGCGCCTCACGGGCGGCGACTGGCAGGCTCCGCGACTGGCGCTCCGCTCAGGTCTCTGCTCGAGCAGCGCCGCTCCACAGAGATCACGCCTCGCCTCCAGTATCCTGACGGTCTTTTAGTTCGGAGCTGATCAGCCAGCCCGTAAGTGCGTCGTTGGTTTCAGGCGCGGGGCTCGGCGATTCATCAGCTGCGAACGAGACCCGGCGCCCCGCACCTCACCCCGTTACCCCATCCGCGTAGCCGCCTCCGCTGCAGCGACCCTCAGTTTGTTTCCCGCAGTTGAGTCTCTCCTGCTTTGTGTCCCTCTGGTTGCTCCCCGCTTGGTTTCCCGTCCCCTCCCCGGTGACCCACTGCACCTTTTCCTATATTCCACGTACGAGCGAGAGCACGTAGTCGTCTTTCTCTCCGCATGATACGTCCCAGCGCTGGCCACGTCAGTGTATCTTGATTCCAGCAGAGTTGACAGCGTCACGTTGATTCCACGCGTGCAGCACAGGGGATCCGCCGTCCTATACGCTACCCAGTGCTCGCCACGATTTCGCTCTGGTCTCTGTCACCTGTTTCGCCCCTACCTGTTGTTGCTGTCTGACAGGATCACCCCATCCCCTCCGCTCTCCCACCTTTCCCACTACTCTCTGTCTCTGGTACTTACCACTACCTCAGGCGGTTGATTGCCTGTATCCCCCACTCTACTAGGACAGGAACCTGTCTGGTTCTCTCCTGTATTCCTAATGGGAAAAAGATCAGATCTCAAGACATAGTAAGTGCTCGATATTTATTGGATGAGCAAGCTCCTGTGACCGCGTCTTAGCCATAATTCCAGATTTAAATATTTCCGGAACCTCATCTTATTCACGATTTCAAACCTGAAGATATTCGGCATCCAACTCCCAACTTTTTCTTTTGTCCTCATGTCATTCTGATCCTTATCTCTCACCCTATTCTCACACATATGCACACACCCAGATTCCAAATGATAGAGGAGGGGCAAGGCAATCCCACTGGAAAGAGGTCCCGAGGATGAATTTTGCTTAGAAATTTAGAAAAAAGGGGGGATCCCTGGGTGGCGCAGCGGTTTGGCGCCTGCCTTTGGCCCGGGGCGCGATCCTGGAGACCCGGGATCGAGTCCCACGTCGGGCTCCCGGTGCGTGGAGCCTGCTTCTCCCTCTGCCTGTGTCTCTGCCTCTCTCCTTCTCTGTGACTATCATAAAAAAAAAAAGAAAAGAAAGAAAGAAATTTAGAAAAAAGGGATCCCTGAGTAGCTCAGTGGCTGAACGTCTGTCTTTGGCTCAGGGCATGGTCCTGGGGTCCTGGGATGGAGTCCCGCATCAGGCTCCCTATAGAGAGCCTGCTTCTCCCTCTGCCTGTGTCTCTGCCTCTCTGTGTCTCTCATGAATAAATAAAATCTTAAAAAAAAAAAAAAAGAAAGAAACCTAGAAAATGCAGAAAATGTCAACTGTCCATGTGAAGCAGCGGGTGGGGGGGTGGGCCTGCCAGGAGCAGGCACTGAAGTTTCCAGGCTTCCCCGTAGTATCCCCACCTCTTTCATTCACCTAACTCCCAAATCCCAAACCTGGGAATTATTCTAGACTCCACTACCTACCGCCCCTCTCCTTTCCTAAGTTTGACCTGAGGGCAGATAATTTAGCCTCCACATATTTCATTCCTCTGTTCTCTCCATGGCATGTGTCCTATTTTAAAGCCCCTTTGTCATTCTAGCTGTTGAAACAACCTTCTGAATGGTACCCCTGCCTGATTTCTTCTCTCTCCCAACCATTCAACCCACAGGTGCTGGAGTAATCTTTCTTCAGTGCGATTCTTAGATTGTTTGGGTCCAGCTGCAGATCCCATTCCTTTTAACAACCTTCTTTATTTCCCATGCCAGACCTCCACTCACTCTATAATAACTCCAGTCTCACTCTTGCTGTGTTCTGTTTACTTATTTGTGTGTCTGTCCCTCACGATGAGCTTCTGAAGGATGGGAATTTTGACACTCTAGGCTTGCCAGCCCAGCACATGCCCTTGATGGGCCTAATAAACATTGAGTCTTGCTCAGAAGTCTTCACTGGGTATCCATGCACACAGCAATAGTTCTGTAGGACTCACACCAATCACTTATGAAGAATCCAGCTCTCATCCCAAAAGCAACAAAAAGATTGCTCTTGCAGAAAAGAACATTTACAGTTTTATAGGTATTCTGGGATTGTGTCTGTTGTTTGTGATGTTTCATAGACACAAATATTGCAGTAATGTTACCAGGAAGAAATTGTACTGCTTCAGTGAAAAACACAAATCAATAAAGTGCTTTCCTCAGTAGTGAAAAATGTTAATAATGCTGTTGGCTGTGACTTTTAGTGCCATAAAGATAAAATCCAAAGGTAAGAGACCATTCAACAACTAGTTAAGGTTTCACAGCAACAAGTCAGACTGTTGTGTGCCTCCCGGCCTCCCCCAGGGTAAAATCACACTGGGACCCCAGCCTTTTCTTATGCTGGTCCGTCTACGTGGGAGGCCTTTCCTCACCTTGTACCTGGGAGTTAGAGAAGGGAAGGATTCCTATGTACTGAGAAGCAACAAAAACAAAACACATAGACTCAGGGTAGATGCTGAGGTTCTAATGGTCCCATACGATCATTTCACAGTAAAGGTTCCTATACCAGAGGAGAGGGAAATGATGGCGAATAAAAGCATGGACCTAAGGTGGCCCACCCTGAGTATGAGGATCCATGGGAAAATGTAGAAAGGAAAAGCACTAGTTTGTTTTTAAAAAAAAAAAAAATTGTGTTTATTCATGAGAGACAGAGAGAGGCAAAGACACAGGCAGAAGGAGAAGCAGGCTCCCTGCAGGGGACCCCGGACCCCAGGATTACACCCTGAGCCGAAGGCAGACACTCGACTGCTGAGACCCCAGGCAGTCCTGCACTACCATTTTGTTTTGTTTTAATTTTTATTTATTTATGATAGTCACACACACACACAGAGAGAGAGAGAGAGAGGCAGAGACATAGGCAGAGGGAGAAGCAGGCTCCATACAGGGAGCCCGACGTGGGACTCGATCCCGGGTCTCCAGGATCACGCCATGGGCCAAAGGCAGGCGCTAAACCGCTGCGCCACCCAGGGATCCCTGCACTACCGTCCTTATGGCTACTTCTCATTGGACCCTCAAAGCAACAAAGGGTAGGCCATACTGCATTCAACCACAAACATCTCTTTATTCTTTCTTTGACAAACATCCTCTCACACCTAATGTGAATCAGCTAAACAAGGGAGACCCAGAAATGGGATGGAATAATCAGAGCCTGGCCCTCAAGGAGAAACATACAGGGTGACAGGTGGCCTTGATCAAGGAGGAAACACACAGGTAGCACAAGATGGCTGTAAAATCATTGCAATACTCACATTTTTCAGGGGCTGTAATGTGGGAGAAAGTGGGAATTTATGAGAAATTAAGGAAAATGCCTTTTACTATTCCAAGAGCAGTAGCTTGCTTTATGCCCTCCTCATCTCCACCCAAAATGAAAGCGTGCCTTAAAGCATGCACCTAACTATGAGAAAAGCTCCATGAGCAGATCGTTCCTCACCCAATCCTTGGAGTCTAGTACTTGTGCCAAGACAGCACCAGGGAGGCAAAGCTCAAGTCCTGTGAAGTACCAGGGCTTCACTTTCTGAGCTGATCCTTCAGGATAGAGAAGGAGTGCATCAGGCAGTGGGGGTGGAAGGAGAGTTCACCAAGCAGACAAATCAGAGATATTCTGGGCAAAGTGAACAGTTTGTGCAAAGGCGTGGAAGCATGAGGAACTGTAATAGTTTAGGGAAGCCACGAGCTTTAGTGTGAACGGAGGCAAGTAAGGCAGCAGGTACCAGGAAATGAGTCTGCAGAGATATATCGGTCCCGCATCACGGAGGGCCTTGTCCGCTGCCACAGGAATAGAGATGGAGTGTGCTGTGCTCTCCCGTGCACAGGGCCCTGTTATGTAACAGGACAAATGTGGCTGGTAATGTGGATGAGGCTCTAGTCATGGCCAAGCTGAGGAGTTTGCATCTACAGCATCTACATTTGGGATCTGATTTGAGGCAGGTCACTGCAGGACCCATTTCACATGCTGTCTCTTACACCCGACAGCACCTAGGTGTGCTAGGTGACGGCTCTCCAAGCACCAGGGCACACTGCTTATCCTGCAGACCGATGAAGCACCTGTTTCCTCACTCTCTCCCTCCTGGACAAGGGGGACCTTTCTTCCCGCTGTTCCTCCATTGGTCTGTTCAGTGGATTAGTGCCATCAATTAACTTGGAGTGTATCAACTCACAATATCTGGCCTCCTGGACAGAATCTATTGCTCCATGACCTACTCAATCCCATGTAGCTACCTTCCAACATGGAGAATGACTATTTTTACTCATTCCCCTTGGCGTAAGGAGTGACCATATATTCAGTACCTTTTTCAAAAAAAAATAGATTATTTATTTAATTCGCGAGAGACACACAGAGAGAGAGAGGTGGAGACCAGGCAGAGGGAGAAGCAGGCTCCACGAAGGGAGCCCAATGTGGGACTTGATCCCGGGGCTCCAGGATCATGCCCTGGGCTGAAGGCAGATGCTAAACTGCTGAGCCACCCAGGGATCCCCTATTCAGTACCTTTTAAGACAGGAATTAGGAGGT